ACGAGGGCTTATTTCAGCCCTGGGACGGGTTCACGTCGTCCTTATCTTCTTGATCCTGTGAGTTGCTAAATTTCTACAAATTTAATTTAAAACGTAGAAACGACGAAATGCTGTATATTATTGACAGGTGCCCGAAGGTGTTCACATGGGTGCAGAGGGTCGATTTGTCGACGGTTACCTAATTTGTTCCTTCAATCAAAGCTTTGATACTTTTGTGGAAGGCCACTCTTTCAATCTCGGCTCCGAAAGGTATCACTTGCAAATTGCTGCTGGGGAAATGAGTGAGTCGTTCTTGCCAAAAAAAACCAGCAATATTACTTCAGCCAATTTTGGTTGCCAATCCCTTTATGGAAATAAATGAATATTTCGTTTGTTCAAACAGCTTATTCCATGTGATACGAGTTCTCCTGAAAATTGAACGCCTTTCTTTCGTTCTTGAAATTAAAACTCAGTGCCCTGACTTTTGTCCACAACAATGTGTCTTTTTTGGTTTTGAGAATAATTACTCCCGAATTTTGTTGCTGTCAGACCACAGCAATATTACTTGAATTACTTTATCCATTGAATTTGATTCAGGGAATATCTTTTCAACTCAATAAGAACATTTGAAGCACTAAATGGTGTACCTGTGTACAGTAAATTGAAATGGTGGCATTTATAAAAATAACATTAAAGTCACAAAGAGAGAAGGAAGTCCCTCTATGCTACTGCTAATTTTTTTAAATTTAGCTGAATGGATGGGAAAGTGATGGGAAAAGTACAAAAGAACTTTTCTTGCATAGATCTCATGGTTGGAAAGATCTGTTTCTTGCAATTAAGCTTAAAAAAAGTCAATTTTCCTGAAATGTATTGGCAATTGTATCATGCAATGTCCTCATGTTGAGTCAGTGTTGTTGTCTGAAGACCAAGGTAAATAAAAATATACAAGTCAAATAAAAATATATCCCTTCAAATATATTCAATTCACAAAATATTTGTACAATCACACACCATATGTTTGACCTTTTTTTTATTGAGAAATGAATGTCTGATGTATGTCAGATTGTGAGCAAATCAAGGTGTCTGCATGTGGTGGTCTTACTGTATTCTTCCATTATGCAATGCCTGTTTACAAATTAAAAAAAATATCATCAGGCGCATGAAACACCAAAAGGGAAATATTGAATATCTCAAAAACGATTGTATGGCTTTGAAAAATATTCACCCCAGCATGGAATGGGGAAAACTCCAGCATTCTAAGCCATTGCAAGGAAATACATTTTTGGGTCATTCCAAAAATAAAAATAGGGGGAAATTCAATGTTCACCCATAAAGTTCCCCCTCTTTGCTTATCGAAAACAATAACTGCACATGTGTCACGCAGATACGACCACGGAAGTGATGGGCTTTCATCACGAGCGGTATTCTATGTCGCCACGCTTGAACCTCACGTCAGCCGAACTGACCTTGGAACCCACGACGCTGGACTCGTTCTACGAGGGTTGCGGGGTCACGGCGGGTTGCATGGGATGCAACCAGGCATACTCCTGCTCGGGTTCCGAGTCCTGCATCTCCTCCAAGAACTGCGCATCAATGTTGAGGTACTCCGTTGCCGATGGTCACTACGGTTTCCTGTTCTACAGAAGGGCGTCTTCTGAGGACAACTGGATCAGTATAGCACTCAGCGAGAACAAGGGCATGGTGAGCAGGGTTTTCATTATTTTCATGTGGTCATGCATTCAAATATGGCCGGAAGAATCTCGCCGGTTTGAAAAAAATTAGGAGAGACGCAGAGACCAAACTTGACAAAATTGATTTAAAGATACTTCAGGTTCACAAAACTAGCATTATTGCCACAGCAACAAAAATAATATCAGTAAGGTGAAATTTGGGGATAAAGTGAAACCCCTAGTGCGGACTAGCTGCGGACATAATCGAGAGTGTCCCAAAGTAGAAATGTCCATATGTTGAGTCATGGTTTCCCTTAGACTAGCATTATACAATTTTTAGCTCATGTTTTCCTGAAGTAATATGTGTCAGGAGTCCATGGGAAAAAAGGAAAGATTGTCTGTCATAATGACAAATTTAATTCACTCTATATCTTTCAACTCAATAGGAACATTTGGAGAACATTTGCAATAAGACCATCAGCAACATGGGAGTAAAAAATGATGACAGCAATGCAAAAAAAGTTTTCTGAAATATAGGGAGCAAAAATAAGTGTGTTATAAAGAGAATTTGATCATAGGGAACCCATATAGCAAGGGAAATGAGCCCTGTGGGACCCAACGAATTCATTATAGGGATGAGTTTGTTATAGAGTTATAGACAATATTGTTGCAGGCAGAGGGATTTTTTTTTACCTGATTTAATGAATGATTTTAATGTTTGAGCTTAAAAATCCTCTCTTCATGCTAACCTTTCCATTTTTCGAAAACATTCCACTATATAGCTGCTTCATTGCCTCCAGAATTAATTTTGCAAAAACTAGAAGCTTTTCAAATACCTGCCATTCAAGCAACACTTTTGTGTGCAAAGATTTTATGAAAATTTGCTTGTCCACAGAAATTTTCCTGAAACTTTGCCAATCAGCAGAATGGATGTAGTCCAAAAGCCCCCCCCCCCCTGCCAAAAGCCCCCCTATGTCAAAAGCCCCCCTGAAAGCCCCTCTGCCAAAAGCCTCCCTTTGGAGCAAAAATTGGGGATTACCGGTCTACTGGTATTTTCTGATGGTAAGCTGCACCTTTCACCAGCAGGCCCAGCATAAGGCCAAGTACCAATATGCTTGTAAGTTGAGTATATAAAGGGATTCCTCCCCTGTATTGGTCATCAGTGATTCTTTGAATGTCAAAGCATCATCATTTGCATGTTTCTGTAAAATCTACAGTTCACCTTGTTGACCCAACGGCTGGTGCACTTCAGATCATCAAAAATCAGAAGGGTTGTTAAAAGGCATACTACAGTGGCTATTTATTCATGGTTGAGAGCTTGGTTGGGTACCCAGCAGAAATTTTTTTTTGAAATTTGCTGGTCTGCAGGAGCAAAAAGGTTGGGGATCACTGGTCTAAAACATTCCTTGTAATATTTATATTCATTTGTTATGTTCAGGTAATTTGTCTCTCTACTCTATTTTAATATTTTGTCTATATTTATTGGGATGTCATAAATGTTCAGCTTTATGCCAAATCATGTGATATTACATGTGAAAAAGAAAATGCAAGCATATTTTCCTTTTGGATCACATTACTGAAAATAAATGTTGACTTTGCACCAAAAGAGCAACTGGACAGAGCGTTCAGCTTCTAGAAAAATCGAGAATTAGCTGTTTTCCATTAACTGGACCTCAATATCAAGCTCATATGCTGTATTGTCATTTCCTTGTGTAATGTAACATTCTGATCCCATGGAAGCTTTCGAGAGCATTTATTGGTTTTTCAATGCTTTTTTCATTCCTTCAAACAATTAAAAAACAAACATTTTGAAGCTGTTTACAAATTCTCCATAGGGCCCAAGTTCCAGTGCTACGATTTGTGCTCCGATGGGCGGCGATGAAGGAGTCAGGCCTCAGTCCTACTGGATCAAGGGGGAAGAGGATCCTATTCCAATCGAAAATGTTTGTATTTTAACTGCCCATTTCTACAAATTTTTTGTTAGATCTCACTTGTGGCAAATACTTTGATTTCTCTCCCAGGAGGTCGAGGGATTGATAGAAGACTCAACTGGGTCCTTCGATGATGGCTTGCTGTGGTGCAGCTTCTCTAGAGATGCCATCACAACTGTTGAAGGGAAAGAGTTTGATTTGCTGAATTCCAAGTACTATATTCTCATTGCTGAAGGAGAATGGAGTTCTGGTGATTATTTTCCACTCTATTCATACAAAAGTTATACATTATACCCTTTGAAAAGTGAGAGAAAGAGAGGGAATAAAGCAAGGGAGGACCTGCAAAATGGACCATTTTTAAAATTTGGATGTTCCAATAAGTTGTTTTAAGCTAATAAGAGAGAAAAAAACCAACATGATGGTGTAGTTAAAATACAAATGTGTCAAAATACAGTTTATACTGGATGTCATGATTTTTTCGAACTATCTCGCCTAAATTTGATAAAATGGTTAATTTCAGAAGGGTTGGTTGCCTATGATCTGGTTTTACATCTCCTGGCTTGACTCAAGCCTTAGAAAATGTGAAAATACGCCGTTGCAAATCTCATTCCAACAAATTCTTGTTTGGGGTTATTTGTTTTTTTTCTTCAGATCCCTGAAAATACCTGCAATATTTGTTGTCTTGATGGAGTTATTTACAAAAAAAATTTCCGGCGAAGTATAGAGCATTTGGCTTTGCTATTACTAATAATTTGTATTTCGATTTTACAACATACAGTCGACCCCTTCACATTAGATTTAATTTGTGCAAAAGACTAGTCTGTTCTGTGTAAAATCTGTTCTGATAAATCAATGACTAAAAATTTGAAATTCAGTATTTAATTTTTAGACTTAATTTTAAACTAATGGAATTCTGTAAGCCTGGATTGGATTTTGTCTGTCAGGCAGGTGTAGAACCTGCTTCCAGAGGGAGTTTGTTGGACAAAAACCCCTTGGGTTGGAGGTCTGTTAGGCAGTGGTTCGCTGTTGTCCTGTACAAAATTTTTTGAGGAATTTCTGTATGAAATTAAATTACAATACGGTATCTTCAAGGTACCTGTGCAAGAGTCACACTATTATTAATATTTCACAATTTGATTTTCACTTTGGTGTTACCACTTTTGTAGCAGCTGTGATGATGCTTTATCCAGATCCAAAATGACTTCATTGTGAACAAAAATTCACTCAACATTAAACCTTGGATGGTGGAGGGTTCCTGGCTGTCCTGAAGCAAAGTCAGGATTTTTTGGGGGGAGGGGCATTTCAGTTTGACTCAAGGTCAATGAAATGCAACAAGTTGCCACGCATATAGGCTTAAGTCAGGAAAAATCCAGGTACAGAAAATCCCATTGTCTCAAGGAATCCCCAATGTTCATCCTATGCTGAGAATGCATGGAAGAACACTGTCCAGAAAGGAATTCTTTCAATTTTGTGTCAAAATTTTCATCAGGATTATAAAAAAATAATGAAATTTTTCCTGACTCAGGCCTTGTTTAAAAAATTATATTTTTCCATTTGCAGCCTTCATGGAAAAAAAAAATTTGCAAAAATATCCCAACTTTGTGGCACAGCAAGGGTTAAATCTTTTGGCGCAGAATATGCTGTTTTCAGGAGTTTTGTTGACAAAACAGTCTTAGAAACATTCAAAGAATAACCTGCATATTTTTGGGTGTAGCTGAAGCAGCACACAGCTTAAAAAGTGTGATGCAGCTATTTTCCTGATTCCAATGCCTGTTGTTTAACAAGATTTTTCCTTACTGTGTCAGGTGCTCCATCTTATCATGGTCCTAAGAAAGCTGTGAGTGGAGCTCCAGTGGATTTTAATAAAATCACTGGACCTCTTGCTGACAACAAATGGAAGCTGGAGGCTCATGCAATTTGTATGATCCTCGCCTGGCTGGGATCCGCCTCGTGTGGGATCCTCACCGCCAGGTATTACAAAAAGTCCTGGTCAGAGAAGGAAATGTGCGGGAAAGCCATTTGGTTTGTGGTGAGAAAACCTTGAAATGTTTTTGATTCTTTCCAACAGAGCTCCTTCTGAAAAAATTTGCGATATAAAAAACTTGCAAATGATCCCAGCAGTTTTCTACTACAAACCATATTATTTAGTAACAGAAGTCGTGTTTTAACCAACGTATTTCACCTGTAAATATAAGTGTAAACACAGCGTGGGCCTTGAATATTTGCATTATGAGTAGACATGCTTGGAAAATAGAATAGAAAGGTCAAATTATAACTTAGACTGCAGTGAAAATGGGCGAAAAAATTAAATGCACAGCTTCTTGCTAATTAAATTTAGTATTGCAGAAAATCTACAGCACCAAAGTTTTCTTAGAATTTTTTCCCTTTCAAAATGCTCAAAAGCCCATTTTTCCCAAATGATAACAGAATGTTGGAAAGAAGTGTGTCTGCTACAAGGATCATTCATTTCTGAATGCATAAGTGTTCTGCTACTCACACATATTTTTATGGTTATAACTTATTAAGATCAGCACAAGTTATAAGATTTGAAGGAGGGCTGGTTTGAATAAGAGGTACTGTATACAAATATTTCATTTGATGAACTGTTTCATCAACAAGTCATCAAAAAGAGTTGGAAATGGCGACAGTAGTCCTAATATATCTGTGTCAAAGCCATTATCAACATTTGTAGCCATTTTCATCAGCAGTACATTATAGACTTTCTTGTTATTCCAAGAATAAACTCGAGTATATCATTAGTTTTTTATTCAATTTCACAGGTCCCTGCTGTCAGTTTTGTATTAACAAGATATGTGTTTGCAATTTCCATCTGAGTAACTGTATTAGTATACATTAGTGCTTTCCCAACCTTGATGGGCTTGCGGAGTGGCAAATTTCCGTAAAATTCGTTCCAGATCAGCAAATTTGAAGAAGTTTTTTAAGGCCTGCAAAGTTTTATACAATTTTATCAGCCTCAAAACGTTCCGTATGACACACTTCATTGCAGACAAACAAAAAGTTTCTGATCAAAAAAATTAAATTTATAATGGATTAAGGGGCTTTACAAAAGGAATGTCTTCAAAGAGTAGAACTTTTGGCTTGGATTTCTCAGAATGGAAATATGAAAATAATTTATTACATCAGGCAAATATTTGTCTGAAGTGTTATTTGGAGAGAAGCCAATTTTTTTTCAATAAGAGAATGTCAAGTGTCATATTGTCTTGAATCTTTTTAAAAGATAAAGATACTGTGATGTCCTATACTTGTGATAAATTCATTATACCTGAGAAAATTTCCCAGGGACCGGAAAAAAAAGAAAACTGTTGCGGACCAGCGCCGGTCCGCGGACCACGTGTTATTGGAAACTCTGTTACAGGTAATTCCGGTGATAGAGAATTCAATCAACATTTTACTTTTCTTGCGCAGGTGCACGTGGCAAATATGCTGGCAACAGTTGCCTTGTCAGTGATGGGCTTTGCTTTTATTCTGAGCGAATTGGGCGAGTTTGAAAAAGGAACGCATCCAATTGTTGGCCTCATTTCATTGATCCTTGCATTTGTTCAGCCCTTCATGGCTTTGGCACGTTGTGAGCCTGATCATCCAAAACGGCCGATTTTCAACTGGGCCCACTTTATTGTTGGCAATTCAGCACACATCCTTGCAGGTATTTGTTCCTTTCTGCATTTTTCAAGATAACATTCAATAATCTACTCATACTGCAACTTAGGTGCATTGATTTTTGTTTCTGTTGAACCCCTTTTTTGAATTTAGAGTCAGGAGCAGTCAAGCCCACAGTCAATCCATTTTGTTTCATGAGCAATATTCAACTGTGAGAAAATAATTGAGCTTTTAACTTTCAGAAAATTCTGATCAATTGAGGATTTGTTTTCAAAAAAGTTGAACCAGCACCAGTCTTCTTAAGAGATCATTGATTGCTGTACTGCATTTATGTTTTTGCTGCTCATGCGCCTGTTCTGTTCAGAGATTCTACTTGCTTTTTTGTTCTGTCATTCTGATTTTGTGTAATGTGGGATTCAAAGCTGAGGTTTGAAGGGTCTCCACTAAGGATGACCTGGTCTTATAATGGCTGATCAAAGTTGTCCTTTCATTTTGTCAACTCCAGCCCTGAAAAAGTGGTGGCCAGTAAGGGGAGCATTCATTCTTAACAAACTTATTTTTCAATACTATATACAGTGAGACCCCCCATGTGGACACCTTGACATGGGGACATTTATTTTTCAATAAAAATCATAAAAAGGGCCAACATAGTGACACTGACTTGACATGAGGACATTGCATGATAAAATTGCCAATAAATTTCAGAAAATTGACTTTTATTAGGGGTAATTGCGAGAAACAGATATTTCCAGCACAAAGATCTAAGTAAGAAAAATTCTTTGGTACCTTTCCCATCATTTTTCCATCCAATCTGCTAATTTGAAAATTTTCCTGCAGTACAGAGGGACTTCCTTCTCTCTTTGTGACTTGGATGTTATGTTTACAGATGCCAACAGACAAATGGGTTACTGATGGCTTAAAAAGATATTCACTGAATCAAATTCATGTGGCAAAAATTTTTTTTCTTGGAATTTCTTGAGAATGTTTCTTCCACAAATCACCAATTGAAAAAAATTTAATATAAGTCTATGGGAAAACAAAACTCAACTTAGAGACAATTCAACTTAGGGACACACTTGATGCACCAATCATGTCTGCACCTGGGGTCTCACTGTACCTAAATCAGTTGCTTGAACAGTTGATAGAAAATTTCTTTCCATTTTGAAATTGATCACATTTTCTGATTTATCTATATTTTGCTTGATACAGTGACGAACATTTTCCTGGCTGTTGATATGGAGGAAGGTGGCTTGCGATTGCCAACTGTGTCATATTACTTCCTCATCCCAGCAGTGGTTGTCTATGTCTTGGCACATTTGGGGCTTTCGGTAAGTTCAAAACACCTTCCAGTCTCTATATTTGGTTGGTTTTACTCAGCCAGAAGATTTATCCATGAATTCGAATGGATAATATTTTATGAAATATGGCGATTTTCCACTTCTGTTTCAGGTCTTGGCTCCCCGACAGGCAAAGAAACAAAACGGAGGCGACAACGCGGTGAGAAAGAATCTAAAAAATAAAATAAAGCAGACTCATGGTGATGTCTAATTACTGTTTTCTTTTCTTTCTTTTGAATTCCAGGGCGAGAAGCTGCGACAAGGGCTTCTGTTTCTGCAAATAATCGTGTCTTGGACAATGGCCCTCATTCTTTGTCTGATCATCACAGGAGATCTTAAAGTAGATCCTGACGGGAAGAAATTTGCGTGAATCCGGTTCAGAAATCTCGGGGAAATCCCAAACCTTTGTTCCATCCATTTCCGGTGTAAAATTTGAATGAACGGAGTCGAGTTGAACGTTTTAACCGAAAACGAGTCAAAATTCTCGATGACCGCCATGCCATGAACTATATTCGGGTTATTTAGAGTGTAACATTTTGGGCGAACAAGTAAAACCATGAACAAAAAAACGATGACATTCTTTTTGTGTGCAGTTATTTTTCATCTTTGAAAGTCACACTTATATAGCTGCAGGTATATCATGAAGAAAAAAATATGATAAGCCTGATTTCCCAGTAAATAATTTGGCTGTTATCCGCTTGCATTTACGCACTGAAGATGGCCTTATAGACGTCCAGAGTGGACGTCTATACAGGTGGCCACTGACCATAAAAAGCGGGCATTATACCCGCCTGGAGAGATGGGGATACAATTGCTGCTTCCCCTGATGGTTATCCTGGTGGTTTGGGCGCCCACAGCCATAACAACTGCACCAAACATACAACAGTGATCAGCCAGAGCAGAAATTCTTGCCAGAAACTCTAGCATCACAGCGTGGATCTGGTAGTCAAGATCCATGCTGTGGTACAAAAGTGGTTTGATTCCTGTGATTGGCCACAGTATTATACCACAGCCAATCACAGCCTTGCAGCATGGATCTGGTAGTCCAAATCCAAGCTTCAGTATTGTAACCTCAACAATGTTACAACACTGTGGAAGCAGTGTTAACACAATTTTGTTTTCTGCAATTGCCAGTAACACATAAATTGATCTTTACAAACATTTTACAACAATTTCTTGCTGCAATAGACATTACAGCAAAGGAAACATTCAAAATAATGAATACACATTATAACAATGTGTAATAATAAGCCATACAGCAGTATTACATTTACTTTTTGGGTACAATGCAATAGATCAAAATTGTAAGTATTACACTGGTCTGAGTCCTAACTCAGAAATCATTTTTTTTATTCTTACACTAATAATTGCAAACATTAACACTGTTACCACAGATTTATTTGCAAGTTGTTGCAATGTTGTTAGAATGCCACACAGTAACTGTTGAAAACACTTTGGAAACATTTGTGAATGAAACTTTTCAATTCACTTGCATTACATGCAACCAATGTTACACACTGTTATCACAATGTTACAACACTGTGGAAACAGTGTTAAAATATTTTGGTTTATGAAAACAGTTTTATGACACAGTTGAAGCAGTGTTGAACAATGTTGGTATAAAAAACAGATTCTTCATATATTTAATTGGGGAATACTGCTATTAGCATCCATCACTTTCACCCCCTTATTTATTTTTGCATAAGAACTGCATTTTTCCAGAGTTTCAATATGATGATCTAATCAGCCTGCCAATCTAAATATAGGATAAATAAATTTGAATAACAATAAGAGTTATTGCTGGTCTGCTTACTATAATAAAATTACAATGCTTTTAAAATCATCACAGAAAAATGTTTTTTACAGGGTAAAATATGCTTTTAAAAGAATCACAAGTTGACTCTTTCGAAAGCATCAAAGAAAAACGTTTTTAACAGTGTAAAAAATGCTTTTGAAAGAGTCAAAATGTGACTCTTTCAAAAGCATCACACAAAAACGTTTTCAACAGGGTAAAGCGTCAGACTCTGACACTTTCAAAAGCATCACGGAAAAACGTTTTTGACTATAGGTTGAAAATGCTTTTGAAAGCGTTGGAGTCTGACGCTTTTAAAAGTGTCAACTAAAAACGTTTTTTACCCCATCCTGACCACGTCAGGAAAACAGATCCCTCCTTGCATCCAAAACCGTTTGTCTGCCATCTGAAATGGCCATGTTATGCGTAAAAATAGCTGCTATCTCAGGCGGCAATCTGAAATTTTTGCTGGGTTGGAATCATCTTCAACTAGCAATTAAGCCATAAATTCGGCTGAGATTTAGATTTTAAAGTAAATTTCTGACAGGGTAAACAGTCAAATTCACTCAATTTGACAAATATTTACATGCAGTATCTTGTGAAGTCTAAGCAACCAGATGCAGAACAGATTCATCCTGCATATCTGAAGATTGCTAAAATTCAAGCATTTGGAAAATTTAGAATTATAATGATGCTAAAGCCTCAATTTAAATCTTTCTGCACCCTAAAAAGGCTCTTCAACAGAATACCTTAAATGTACCCTACAGAAGAGTCACCCATGATAAAATGACTGATGTTTGCTGTAGTTTCAGAAATAAATATTCTCAGCATGCAAGCCCTGTAAAATATAATTTTTCTCATATTTTCTTGAAAATAACACAGTTTCAAAGCAAAAAGAAGGGATAAAAATACTGTTAATCAAAGACTGACATGCTTTATAGAATATATAATGCAACAGGTCCTAATACAAAAAAGGCAGATTTTTTGATGTGATGGCATCCTGACACAAGTAGAGTATTTCATTCAACTTGACTTCTGCTGACAAAGTTTGCATGAATCCTGATCACTCTTGCTTTTTAAATTTCATGCGTTTTTGGGGAGAAAACATAGTATATCTTCCAATGTTTCACTATACAGTGTCTCAATTTTCATAGAGGTTTTTAACCAAACCCCACTGCTGAATTTGTGTTTCATTTCTCAATTCAGATATAAACTTGTGCATTTGTGTGTATGAGACTATATACCGTATTTACTCAAGTACCATGCGCACCTTTTTTCCCAAATTGCAGAAGAAAAAAAGGGGTGCGCATCATAAGCAGGTAAACAATATTCAAGAAGTTTTAGGAAGTTATGTTTGCATTATCCTTGATTATAATGGAGAAATGTGGAACAAATATAACAAGAAAACATTTTTGTATTGAAAAAATTGAACATTCCTCAGATCTTTGTTCAATTCATGCCAAAAGTCAAATTTTTTGTTATTATTTTTGAAATTTTATGGTTTTAGATTCACTAAAAATTGGGGTGCGCGTCTTACTCAGGGATAAGATTTTTGCAAAATTTTCAACTGAAAAACCCCTGTGCGCGCCTTACTCAAGGGCACATGGTACTCAAGTAAATATAGTAATTATTGTGGCATTAACAGCATTACCAATATTTCATAAAAAATACATGAGTAAATCAGGTAGTTGGGAAATTTGAATGAAATGGAGTGTAGCTCAATCTCTCTTCATTGCAAATTTCAATACAAAAAAACTTGTATTCATTTTTGTTTGGTCCTACCACTGAATTTTATTATACTAATAGGAGTTAGCTTATACAGGTATACAAAAATTCAGAGAAAATATACACTAAGGTGAAGACAAACTTCAACTTCAAGAAGGTGCACAAAAAAGATTTATGTTTGGAAGGAATTTTTGTGGAAGGAATTTATACGGATTACATCAAATTTATTCTCTTTACTGGATCAATTTTTTTTGGATGATACAGTACATAAAATTGAATAAAAATCTACAGCTCATGGCATGAATTGCCTCAATTTTATTTTACAAAGCCGAAAGCAAAGAGTCTTCAGTTCAAACTTGGCTAATCACCATCACTCACTCATATTGCAAAGCATGTCGTGTCATTATCCGCGCAATTTCCAAAACACGCAAATTTATGTTGGTAAGGAATTCATAGACATGGATTTCTTAGTTGGCAAAGAGCTCAATTCTCGTCTCCTGGAAGCATGAATGATACGTGGAGAATTCTTCCCTTCAGAATTTCCCTTCATCGTCACCAAAACTTCCTTTTTCCTCTGCAAGTTTCTTGGGCTCGGCTCCAAAGACTTTGATGCATGTTCTTTCACTTTTTCAAACTCCTAAAAATAAAAAAAATTTTTAGCATATACTGTACATCCGGAATTGAATGGAATTTTTTGTTTGTTTTACTTGTCTTATTGTTGGACCTTCCGTAATAATTCCGGAAGATTTCCGGTTGTCAAACGCCGGCGTTTGCGAAGCCATGAATTGATGATTGATGGATTTCTGCTCTTCCAATTCTGCCAATTTGGCAGCCAGGATTTCCCTGGCCTTCTGCCGCATCAACTTGGCAGACAGGGATTCTATGTCCACCGGAAACGAATCCGGTCTAGAAAGCTTTCTAGAAGCATCTTGCGGCTCTCGTCTCATCATCACCTCGTTGCCTTCGTGAAAGGACAGGGTTTTCGAGGGTTTCCTAGAAGACGACGGGTTCCTGCTGGTGGGTTTCACCTTGGCGACAGCAGTCGGGGTTTCCGAGGTCTTCTTCATCACCATGAGTTCGACTTCGCTCATTCTACTGAGTGATTGATTCGTCGGGCGTCTGTTGCTGGTCGCAGACAGCGTGGAAGTCTTTGTGGCATCTTTGCTCAGTTTTGGCACGGGCTGCTGATGTCCAGTGATTGTCTCTATGATCAAGCGGGCGATTTTGCGTTTCGCGTCGAATGCCAAGAAGATCAGCACGCCTTGGAGCCCGTTGAGGAAGAAGAATGCGTACCAGAGCCAGGGAACGTCGGCGAGCCCAGCGACGAACCCAAGGGTCCAGCCGAGACCCATGATGAGGGCCAGTTTCAGGTAGAGAATGAGGCGGATTTGGTTCTTGCGGTTTTGAGTAGCTGCCGGTGGCTTTTTGGCGCTGCTGGTGGCCTTTGAGGGCTGTCGCACTGTCTTGGCTGCGAATTTTGATGCTTCTTGCTGCCTGAAGAAAGGTATTTGAAAAAGTCGCAATTATTGTTATATTTTAAGTGAAATACCGCAGCATGGCCTCAAGTACATGTTTGTTCTGAAAAAAACACGTTTATTGAAGAAAATTCCTATTATAAATGCATTATGTTTCAACTGATGATTTGATATTCACTGTCTTTTTTATGAAATTTCTGGATGATAAATTTTATTAATACAGTGTTCCCCAACCTGTTTGGGCTTGCAGACCTACATATTTTCATGTACTTTTCTGCAGACCAGCAATGTCCCGCAAAATTGTTGAAACCCAGCAGCTGACATTTTTTTCAATATCTGCCATAAGTCCTCAGAACAAAGATTTTATTTCCAAAATTATTTGTTAATAACCAATGAAGCAGCTACCTTGGGTTTGTCTTTTAAAAAAAGTAGAAAGCTGGGCTTTAAGAAAGGTTTCTCAGATTGAAAACTTGAAATTAAGCATTTCAGCAGGTGGAAATATGTCTGAAGTGCTATACTTGGGAGAAAAGCCAGCCAAATTCCCTAGAATATTCAATCTACCAATTTTAACATTTACTTAAGTCCTGAAGTATAACATAACTATGCATTGTATACAGTACAGTGAGACCCCCCACATGCGGACACCTTGACCTGCAGACAATTCAACATGGGGACACTCACTTTATCATTAGAAATTAATTAAAAAGGCCCAACATGAGGACACTGACTTGGCCTAGGGACATTTTGGCGTAAAATTGCAAATACATTTCAGGCCAAATTACAAGAAACAAATATTTCCAACCCTTAAATTGATGTAAGAAAAGTTCTTGGGCATTTCTCTCACCAATTTACCATCAATTTAGCTAATTAAAAAAGTAACTCCAGCAGAGAGGGACTTCCTTCACTCTTTCTCATTTGCATATTATTTTTACAGAGAATGCCAACATTTCTATGCACTGTACAGAGATATCAATATTCAATTCCCCAAATGCCCATGTTGTTTTGAAATATATTGATTGGAATCAGTTCAAGTTGGGATACTATTTTTATGTTCCTGGAATTATGGTGAGCATTTTGTAAATAAAAAACAATTAAAAATTATATAATGTATAAGTCTCAGGGAAAATGAGACTCAATGTAGGGACACTCTTGATGCACCAATTACATCCGCATCTCAGGGTCTCACTGTATACTGTTTTTCAGGGAGTGTGTATTCTTGTTACATGGATAAAATGCTTTTTGAACTAAAAATTGAATTCTGAAGGTACCACATAGATTTTTAAAATATCCAGCTTGCAACATTGCTCAAGATACAATTTACTCAATTTATTATCTTAGATTACAGCAATTTTCCTGAAATTGAAACTCACTTGTAGATTCCAAAAGCTGACAAGGCAAAAAGCACCATGTTCTCCAGCATCACAGCCCCAACAGGTAACACAAACAACAATGCCAGCCCTTTTCTGTTGTTAAACCAGCACAAATGCTGAGCATATTGAGGAGCAAATTCTGGTAGCAGTCCTCCAAAGTCTACCCCGGCTGAGATACCAACAATCACCCCAGGTACCCCCCATGCATACAGAGAATATAACCTGAACAACCTGTCCTTGCTCTCAGAATTCATTGTGCTCTTGCTGAAGGTTTTGTAAACATCAAAACTCATCACACTCATCCACATGAAGCTGGCCAGGAAGAAATAATGCAGCAAAAGGGCAATAAAGACACAAACTCCCTTGGACTCATGACCTCCTACCCCAGTTACAAATAGCAGCTGGGCTGCAAAGAGGCAAACAGCCAGTGCCAGCAGGTTTTTTCCAGGTAAATTTCTCAATTTGGGAACAATAGTATAAATAATGATGTGCAAAGCTAGGCATAAAAGTGACAGAGCCAAACAGAAAAAAGAAAAGTAAGATTGTGCTGAGGAGAACTTGAAATAACTATTGCTGGCGCTTTTGCCCACACAGATTCTGGCTGTTGTCGAGTTCAACATTTCATACTCTCCAACTTCCTTCATCTGTCTTGTTTTGTTGATATACAGTGTGTTATTGTCCAGAATTTCAAATTCGTCGTCATGGATATCAGTGGTGAAGCAGTCGGAACTCAATGCAGTTGAGTTGGTGGAACTGAGAAACTTCTCCAAGTTTTTCACACATCTTCCCTATAAAATGACGGATTCCAAGAAAGATTTTTTTCAAATTGCATCCATTGTACATACATTAAACATATACTTTAGTTATTTCAACATGTTTTCAAACAAAAGAATGGTTTTTCAGGTTGCCATTTTATTCAAGTTGAAAAAAATTCATGATTGCATACCATGTTTGAATCTGTCTTGATAAATTTAGAGCCTGGTAAATTGAATTTAACCTGGGTCTATATAACTTAGCACTTACTTGTACATTCCTGTAAAATCTCCCACACGTAATTGCGTGACACCTTTGGTGAACATCATCCCAAATCTCTTGATTCCCCTTGCATTTTTCAGCCATGCCAACTCCACCATCCCCAGAAAAGTCAAAGATGACTGCATAAGAAGGAAGGTTGCTGAAGCCCCTAAAATGGTGCCCAGACCTTGAAAATGAGTCTTGTCTGCACTCAAAATTTGACTGGTTGAACACCATGCCATTGCAAACTGCACAATGCACATTGCGGAATGATGCTGATGGAACCATTTGAGATCTGACTGAGGTGTACATTGAGTACAAAGAGCAACCCAGGGCTGCATTTTGAGGATCATCTTCTGGCCAATCTGGTGCACAGGTTTGAATGGATGGGCGACACTTTCTTGCATTGTAAGAAGACAAAAATGTAGGGAAGTCGTCAAACTCCTTGATGACCAGGCGACATGACACAGTTTGACTCAACATGTTTGGCCCTCTGGAATGCATCATAATTTTCAATACAAGATCATTTGCACATGTTTATATTCATGAGCAGGAGTTTCAAGATTTCATTAAACTCCCCCCCTTTTCTTAGGTAACCATGCATACAATATTTTGATGCTGAGAAATTCATTGTCACAAAATGCGCCTGCATGAATTTTTTGGGGGGTCTGAACAAATTCAGGATTCAGATGATAATGTATGAAACAATAACTTTCTAGCAAATTCAGTGCATTACTGTTATCTACAGCTTAAAGGAATTTTTGATTTTTGAAATTTCTTCCCATCTTCATTGAAACTACTTGGTTGTTCATTGGATTTTGAATTGAATTGTTTGACACATGACATACTATCTCACAACTTAAAATCACAAAAATGCATTCCCTCTGATGTCAACACTGCTGCTTCAATAACATTGGGGTGATATGTAAATACCAAATCAAGTAAAATTTCTGCTCACTGATTCCAGGGTATTGGTTGAAATTGAATGTTTTCAGCTTGTCTCTGTGTTTTATTTTTAACCTGGAGATTTTATTTTATTGAAGACAAGAAAGATGTTTTATTTTGCAGCCAGAAATTACGGTAATTTTAGCAGCTGCAAATATTGCATCAATTGTGCATTTTACTTTGTGAATGCCCCAAGTGGGATGATCTTGTTTTTGTCTCTGCTCCTGATCATGGGCGATTTTATCAGGGAGGAAATTTGCGCCGATTTTATCAGGGAGGAAATGCGCACCGATTCGTATCAGCGAAGCGCTTTGGCGAAAAAGTTATTTTGCGGAAATGCAGATATCTTAAAAAGTAAGATAGTTAGAAATATTTTACATAGAACAAAAAGTGTGGCAAACATCAAGATCTAACTTTTAAAATGATGTAAAATTTTCTATCTCAAGAATTGAATGAGATATGCGCTTCGGTATTTCGCGTCGTGAATTACGCAATGTACAAAATTTTACCTTGGAAAATTTCCTGGTTTTCAGGACTTGTTTTGTGTGGAAAGTGCCTGTGTGTTTTCATGCCTATTGTGTGGGGTATATAAGGTGTGTGGATTGTGTCAATAAATCATCAGTTTATATTCAGCTTCAACCAAGTGCTGTCCCATTCCTTTGGTAAAGTTCAATTTCGCGTCGTGAATTACGCAATGTACGAAATTTTACCTTGGAAAATTTCCTGGTTTTCAGGACTTGTTTTTTGTGGAAAGTGCCTGTGTGTTTTCATGCCTATTGTGTGGGGTATATAAGGTGTGTGGATTGTGTCAATAAATCATCAGTCTATATTCAGCTTCAACCAAGTGCTGTCCCATTCCTTTGGTAAAGTTCAAGTACAGTAATTTAAAATTAAATGAGCTAGCAAGCTGCTTAACTGCTTGCTCACTTTGTGTATCTTTGGTCCTGTGGTAATTTAATAGCAAAGATATCAGTCTCAGTTATTCATAGACAAAAACGTGGAAATATCAAACATTTGCAAGGAATCCACATTATATTTGAGCTACAACCATTGATATATGGTTATAATCTTCTCAATCCCACATTTACAGCAGTTGATGAATATAGGTTTTCTGCTTTGTATTTTTTAATCCAGGGATGAGATAAATAAAAAGATCAGCCTTGGAGATGAATTTGTTTTTTCATTTTTGTGAAAACATTTTCTGCAGCTTCAAAACAATATGCCAGGATTTTCCCCAACTTTGCCCTGGATGCACTTCTCTGTTTTGTATAAACGCTTCTCTTATACAGGCACCACATTTTGCAGAAAAATCTGACTTTTCTGGTCAAGTCTTTTTGGGTAAGTGTGGGCTGAGATTTGGTGTGAACCATTAAAAAAAACCTTTCTCGGTGTCATCTGTACAAATGCGCGGGCCAAATTGACTTGGACACCATTGCTATTTTTTTTGAGAATACGCTGGGACAAGCAAAAATGACTGAACTAAACTCATTTGTTGTGAGCCAAAAAAGATTAAGAGCATTCATTTTCTTTTCGAAGCTAAATTGACGCCTGCTGCTACAGAAAGCTCACATAATTCAGAAGGTCCAGATATCAAGCGGAATTTGCGACAATAACTACGAAAATTTGTACACATACGTATGTAAGGTTTCTTATGTGCTCTGTAACTCGAATATCATCAGTATTATCTTGTACAATTCCTGTTTGTCGGTCAAAGCATAAAAAAGTGGACACTGCCTGCGAGGATCTTGCCTACAACGTTTGTTCTCTGTATTACGATTTTTTTTGTTGGATGATAGGGTTCTCTCGCCAGGTTTTAAGGGTTCCCTACAACGGAATTTTCCCTCAGACTAATTTTCTCTGTTCCCTGAAATTTATTTTTAGGGAAAGAGAGAGAGAGTCCAATAGCATTCTTTGCCATCTAATGTTCTGCCATGGTGAAATATAGGAAGGGTTCTTGAATTGTATGTCCTATTCCAGTCATAGAAGCAGTGGCCAGCATTGAGGTGCAGGGAAGAACGATTACCAGTTTGAACTGTCTCTTTTGATAATAGGGGTGACCCCGAACTTTTAGTCAATCCAGTATATAGATCTGTATATCTGGACCTTGGAAATTTGAGCACACTTGATTCAGGAGTGATGTATCTCCATTTTGCTTAAAGTGACAAAATTTTCCCAACGTTCGGAGACGGCGTTGATGCTTTTTGCGCCCTGGTTGTAACCTGAATATCATGCGGATTTGCGCGAATTTTTCATATTTATATTGGTTTTTATGAAGTATTGTATACTCAAATTTTTTGTAGAAGACCATCTCTGTATGTTCAACATTACAAAAACGAAGTCAGCAGATCATTATTGCTGTAATGAGGTTCATTTTCCTCGAAATATATTCGTTTAATTGCTGACTGATGATGCTGTATATGCATGCGTCTGAATAATTTTCACTCTCTTTTTGGCCATCCTGTGCAGCAATGACATACATTTTAAATTAATCGTGTTACTCATGAAAGCTTCGGAATAATTCTTCTCAATAATTCAAAGCTCGAGGCTTTGCTAGGTTTACCGCTGGAAAAATACTCGCATATACGCCAATTTTCTCCCCACAAGCGCGGCTTGATCTCGTCGCCATTGCATTGAAAATTGAAATCTATCGGCGCGAAAAAAATAAATAAAACGAGATCCTGGCATTATTTTCTTACGACTACACTGCAAAGCCACGCGGAAAGCAAAAAGGAAAAGGGGAGAGAGAGAAAAAAATATATACAGAGAAGAGAAGAAGTTGCGAGAGGAAAACCGCGACGAGAAGAGGTATGAAGATAGATGACTGGACAGATAACGGGGACGCTGGGAAATGCGTAGGAAAAGCCAGATGGATTTCCCCCGCAGATGGCAGGGCCGGGCATCGATTTTCAATGAAAGCACCCCTGGAAACCATTGCCGTCAACGACTTGAGCACTGGCGGGCGTTCGGCAACAATTTTTCCTCTTCTTTTCCCGCGGCGGCTGCGGCGGCGGCAGCAACAAGCCGGAATGCGACAGGCGTCGTCATTCAGCTTTGCTGGGCAAACATTTTCATTTCTCCCCGACACCGGCTGTTAGTCTCCGAAATGCCCTTGCATGCGGAGGGAAAGCGATGATCGCGGTCCTTTTCGAAGAGGAAAAATCCAGATCACCGGAAATATAAACGATGTCACATGTTTCGTGGGCGGAACAACCATGATGCGATGGAGGATCACAAAAGAAATAAATAAAAACGCAGGCAATCAGCCTTTCCAGGCCAAGAACACATATTGAAGGGGTTACCTTCAATAAATGCTCTTAGTTTTGAAATTATTTTATTTAGATATTTTCAGTGAAGCAAATCAAGAATTCAATGAATCCAACTGAATAAATCCACACACACAATAAATACAATCACCAGATCAGATCAAACAAATACACATTACAGATTTGAGCACAAATCAGTTATTAAAAAGACAGGAACATTTTTTTAATGAGTAACTGATTATGAATTTAAATTCACAAGGGCTTCTATTATTTTCTTGGAAATGTGATGCGACCAGAAAATTCCAGAATATTCTTGCATATTCACTGGCCTCTGATTGGCTGAAGTAATTAAAATCCAAGAAATCTTTGTATGGGAAACCTTCATCAAGTTCTCTTGTTCATCATTTTCTTCATCAACTGTTCATTTCTTCCTTTCCAAAATAATTTAACATACACTATAATTTCCTTACAACAATGCACTTCCACAGGGACCTGACCAAAATTCGGTACATAAAGATTCATGATTTCAAAATTATTCATGGTTGAATTTTTTTTTAGAAAACTCGTACTTTACATAGTAAAAGGCTTCTGAAAAATATACTGTACATAGAAGACGTCATTATTTCTGACTTTCTTGCATGAAATTCAAATGGAAATTTTCAAATAAAATCCTCTCATTTTTAACATGCCGTTTCTGTCACATTTTCCAATAATGTGGTGATCTTTTTGAAAAATTAAGTCATACAAAAGTCAGGCACTGTATATGAAATACTTTTTCCCGAATTCATTTTACCAAGCACACTCATTCGTTCTTTGAATAATGGATATATTTTTCTGCACATGCTTTACTCGCCCCACTGAGCCATTTCAGGATTTTTAAATGAGCGTACATAAAATCGAAGAAAAACATATGCTGTGGATTTTTGAAACACTCTGTATGCTAAATTTTCTTGAAAAAAAAACTTGGATTTTCTGATGAAATTTTGATGATGCACAGCTTGAATTTTCCATTTTTTTGCATGATGAAATAATCCTTTCGCCACATTCATAGAATCATGTGAAACATTTGTCATAATGAGATTCCAGGTGAAATTAGTTTGTTAAAATGAGTTTATTACCATTGCTTCTATGAATAAACTGCTGCACGGACCAAGAAAAAAAAAACGTTCGAATGAAAAATTCCTTTAAAAACATTATAGGTTGTTGATTGGTTTTTCAGGTCCCTGTCCGATGGCAACATTATTCAAATCACCTATATGAACGAATTTATCATTA